CTCTTCGGCGAATAGCGCAGCCGATAATATTAGAATGTTATAATAAGGCGTATGCTCTTATAAAAGGAGTGTCCATAGATTACCAGTTGATAAATGAAAAACACAAAAACTTATAAAAACTATGCGTGCACTCACTGGCAGAGCATGATGGATGAAAGCTAATTATCTCAAAAATATTATATATACGGTGTTTGTGTTAAAAGAATGATTAAACCTTCTGAAGCCTGGTTTAATTTGGTCGGCGGCACATCTTGGAAAAGACTGAAATTAGTTAATCGATATCTATAATCTAAGTATTTGTCCGCTTTCGACCGCTCGAAAGGAAGCTATTTTTATGTCGGATTTATGGATATAGAGATTTGTGTATTTATAAACCTGTGGAATTAATCGATCCACCCAACGAATTCAATATATTTTCTAAAGATTATCAAAGAATTCTATATCCCCGTTAACTTTGAACATTAACTAATTGCTTTACTGGTATTTTCAGAGGCTCTAATTTTTTTCATATTTGCAAATACAATTTACACGTAATTTTCTGTCTGATCTGTTGAGTTTGTTTATGTAGAAAGCTAAAAGCAATAGAAAAGTGTGAATACGAATGCTATTTTTGTTGATTAAGCAATTATTCATATCATATCATTTAATTATTTTAGTGAACAATAACTATTTTTTTCATTTTTATAGATTATGTAAAACGATACAATGTGTCCATATAAAAATCCCCAATCATAATTTTTATATTATAAGGCAAGGCACGTTTTTATCTAAAAATAACAATAAAAAGGGTGTTAACCATCAAATACATTAAATTACCACCTATTTTTAAATCTGGCGTATTTATTTTCTCAAATTTTGCTAAAATTGAGGAAATAAAAATATTAAACTCTAATCTTTCACGCGTTTGTTTAAAAGAAAAAGAAACTTCAACTTCAGTTGCACCGAAGTTATAATACCCTATACAAAAACTACCGCAAACAGTCCTACAACCACTTGACACCTATCGTTCAGTTTGTAAGACAGCATATGCTATATCGATCCGATCTAAACTTTTTCTACGGAAATTTAATTACTCTGTTTTTAATAATCATATGTATATCGTTCGATGTGTATGGGCTTTATGATACAGTGACGATGTCAGCGGTTCCAACAAATGGGCAATAATTAATGATTGACATACAAATACCCATATTTTAAGTTAGAAATTAACAAAATGTGTATAGAAATAAATACGAACCACCCTGTTATGTATAAGATATATCAAAAATATTTGTTTACATGTAAAATGAACCATACTAGCTTCTCAACGAAATTACTAATATTCATTTTTATATTATACATTTATATTATATACTCGTATGTATACAAATAGTTTTGTATCGAAATTCAAACTTTAGGAAATATAAAACTGTCACACTACAAGCGGATACATGCACATAAACGTAAATAAAAACACGTAAATAAAAACATGTAAATACCCAATTATTATAATTGGCATGCGATAGAATTATATTACTACTCCAAAATACTCGTGCAACCTTGAATATGAAGCACCAAGCATGATGGTGTTGAATGACAATTATTGCATAAGCGAAACCGAACAAATGTAACCGAAATTTTACTTAAATATGTAGCTATTTATATACATTGTTACTGGTATATAGTACAACAACTAATCGGACATATGACGACTTGAAATTTATATAACAAAATTACAAAAACAAAAAAGAAAAATTAAGAAAATAAAAGCTCAAGTAGAAGAGTAGGAAACAATAGACCAAAAACGGGTATAAAAAAATTTTATAATTGCTTTCATGCTTGCGCAATACTAAATAGACTCATCTGTTTGCTTTTACATACTACATACATACATATGTACTTGTTAATACTAGAACTATTATTAGAAATGTCATTAGTAAATTTCCTGGTTTAATGACAAAGAGTTATCGCATGAAATATAAGAAAACAGCATTTTTATTAACCGATAATGGGGCCGAACCAATAAATTCGGTGTACAAGCCCGATTTCCGACATTATGGTCGAAACTATGATTTACAAAACCGGTTCGTCCGAAGTGATGAGTATAGCTTTAAAATCAGCTGACTTTTCAAACATTTGCTATAATATTAAAAATGCAATCCTGTTGTGTATCACATTAATTACCCTATCTTTGGCCATCAAAAATTCTTTTCATAATTAACTGAAGCCGAAAGAGTGTTCTTTCGATTAATAATAAACATTCTCCATTAAATTTGAAGCTTCTGTGTTTTTTCTTTAAAAAAGTAGTACATCGAAATGGATCAACTTTCATTCAGGGTATCAAAATGGACAATTCCTCATCAACGCATTTTTCACGCATGCAGCGGTACTGGCCATGCCGAGAGAAATTGCTTATTTCTATCCAAGCAATTTATTTATCAGAATTTTACCGTAATCTGTACAAAGTATTTGCCGTGTTTTGTAAACGTGAATGAAATAATTTACATGTGTTCTAATATATAAATTAAAAGTAAGCGAATGACCGATGCATTGGAATTTTTCAAAGGAGCACATTTATTCAATAAACTCAATGACATTTTTGGAATTCACGAAATATAGTACTTAAGTTTTATCGACATAAACGCAGCCAAAATTGTGAAAAACGAGAAAAAACGGTAACTTCTGTTGCACCGTATATATAACAACCTTCACAAAAAAATTGCCGTACACAAATATATTAGCTGGTACTAATGGGACAGAAATGAAGGCATCACAAGACCTTGGAAGCTATATTTATTCTCCAAAGAGAGGCTCATATCGGCGTCTCCGATGTGGACCAACTATAGCACCTAATGCTATTTCGCAGACAGCACCCGCAGACATTAGCGAAGATGCATTGCTGCGCAGTGGGTTCAAAGTCTCTGTGAAGCTGGGTATATGATGCTGTCCGAACAAAGTCACGCTGAAGCTTTCTCCGCCTTCAAGTGCAATCATGAATACTTGCAACACTGCGTTGCAGAAGTACGATGAGAGTTTTTATACTCTCGAAACAAAGTTGCTAAAGAGAGTATTATAGTTTTGTTCACATAACGGTTGTTTGTAAGTCCTAAAACTAAAAGAGTCAGATATAGCGTTATATAAACCAAAGTGATCAGGGTGACGAGTAGGGTTGAAATCCGGATGTCTGTCTGTCCGTCCGTCCGTCTGCCCGTCCGTGCAAGCTGTAACTTGAGTAAACGCTGAGATATAATGATGAAACTTGGTACACGTATTTCCTGGTTCCATAAGAAGGTTAAGTTCGAAGATGGTCAAAATCGGACCACTGCCACGACCACAAAATGGCGAAAACCGAAAACCTATAAAGTGTCATAACTAAGCCATAAATAAAGATATTAAAGTGAAATTTGGCACAAAAGATCGCATTAGGGAGGGTCATATTTGGACGTAATTTTTTTTGAAAAGTGGGCGTGGCCCCGCTCCCTACTAAGTTTTTTGTACATATCTCGGAAACTACTATAGCTATGTCAGCCAACCTCTGTCTCTACAGAGTTGTTTCATTCAGGCATTTCCATATACAGTTCAAAAATTGAAGAAATCCGGTAATAACCACGCCCACCTCCCATACAAAGGTTATGTTGAAAATCACTAAAAGTGCGTTAACCGACTAACAAGAAACTTCAGAAACACTAAATTTTACGGAAGAAATATCAGAAAGAAGCTGCACCCWGGCTTTCTTTAAAAATTGAAAATGGGCGTAGCGTCGCCCACTTATGGACCAAACACCATATATCAGGAACTACTGGACCAATTTCAATGAAATTCGGTACGTAATAGTTTCTCAACACCCTGATGACATGTACGAAATATGGGTGAAATAGCTATTTTGAATTCCATCTGATGCCTTCTCTGTTTAATATATACATTAGGAAGCAATGATGATAGCGGAATAAAACTTTACACAAATACGGTATTTGATGCGAGAGTATAAAATGTTCGGTGACACTCGAACTTAGCCCTTCCTTACTTGTTTGTCGTAGCTTTAGGCGACCGAATCAGTGTAGTTTTCTTCAGGCAGATGTGAGTTCTATTAAGGTGGCGAACACTGTTAGCTCCAAATTAGTCAAATAGTGTCTGCCCTCACGGTTGGTTGCCAAGGCGTAGCGGAAACGGTGGTAACTCTAAAGCCACTATTGAATAGCCAGAGGTGGCACCCTTGTAACGCTCATAGCGGAATGAGTCCGAGTTGGATCTCCATTTGTATCTTTCGTTTTATCACTAGACCAGTGAACCTCGCGTGCCCTTAGGGTTCTTACTGGAGATTGTTCTTACTTGACATTGTTCTAATGAATTTGTGCGGTAAAGCTAAAAATCTTGTCGGTCGGTTGTTGGTTAAAGTTGTATGGAAAACGGTGGGCAGAAAACTACCAAGTAAATTGCATTGTCCAGCCCTTGCGAAACAGATGTTGAAACATTTCGGCGATAGTACCTACGGCGAACAAGGAAATATAGAAGAAGCTCACATTATATGTCTCAACAAATTGGAATTCTCAAAGGGCTTTATCTTTTTTTTTTTTTTGAGGGTTTTATTATCCGTTATACAGCAGTTTTAGGTAACATAATGGACCGGTGTTCTATGCTATGAGATCTCAATTAGAATCAACCTCTTAAGTAGACATCTCTTTATTCCATGATATATTTTTGAAAACAAGTTATGTGTAAATAACAATTTTGCATACATAAATCAGTCAACCATCTTATTTTACACATATATTACTAAGTACTCTTAAAAACAACTCGAACAGATTTATACCCAGAACATTTCCAGTCCTTAGATAGCGACGAATCGAACAAGCAACTCGCATAAAGGAGAAATAACTTATACTACTTTCAACAATAAGAGCAAGCAGTTATCCATATGGAATATGGATCTTTGAGTATAACTAAACTCGAAATATTTACCAAAAATATGATGTTTTCAAATCAATACTGAAAACTTGTCCTTATTTGATATTACGTCTTACCTTCATAAATGGCTGCACATGATTGATGGGTCTGTTTGGAAGACCAGCGATCGGCTGATAACCGACTGTTTGCGTGCTGTCCTCATCGGAGATCGAATCGGCTGCGGTAATGACCACCTTCACTGGCGATTTTAAAATCTTCTCAGACGCTGGCGCTGCTGTTGTTGTTTTCAAAGCACTACGCGTTGTTGCAACCATGTCGGTGTCTGCCAGAGCCGCTGATAAGCCCAATTGTTTACTGTTACTCGTAATATAATTATCATTATTTTGGTTTTCTTTGTTTTTGCTTTTATTATTACTATTGTTTGTGCTACACACTTCGTTGCTATCGCTGCTTTTGTCATTGCTGTCGTTGCTATTGTTGTGCGCTTTAATTAGTTTCGCAAATTCTTGTTCTATCGTCGAGATTGATGTCACTTTCGGCGCATTTTCCATACAAGCTGCTCTGCCCGACTTTGGCGTTGTCACCGCCGCTGGTGTTTTTGTTGCTCTCGGTAATGTATTTGTTTTCATGTTTATCGCACGAGGCCTGCTTAGTTCACTTTTAGAAGCTATAATATCGCGTATTATTGCTGAGCTAACAGACTCGTCGCGGACGGATGATGATGACAGCAGCTTTGTTGTTTCGATTGTTGGTGTTGTTATTAATGGCGTGAATGTTGTCGCTGCGCGTGAATTCGTTTGTGATAATGCAATTTCTGGCTTTGTAATTAGCGTTTTTGGTGTTGCCGTTGCGGTTCCTGAGGTGTTTGTTGTTGCCGGAGTTGTTGTTGCGTTTGTAACTGTATCAGTGTGGGTTAAAGTTGCTGCCGCCGAAGTTGTCGCTAACTTCGCTGAGTGCACGGGTATTGTTGTTATTGGTACTGTTGTTGTTGCGCACTCCTTAGATGCTGATTTTGTTTTTTCCACTTGTTGTCCACCGGACTTTGATTTGCGCGAAACACAGTTTAACGACATGCGCCGATTACCGTAACCCTTGAAAAATCCACTCGGACTTCGGCTGTGACTTTGCTCGCTGTGTTCGTTTTTATTGCTTTTACTGGCACTATTAGACGCTTTGCTGGTACCGTTACTGTCACCGATTTGCAATGAAGAGTTTTTACACCACAAACTGCTCACACGATTGCCCATGCCGAAGTGTTTTACCCACCAAGCGTCCTTGCGGGGAGAACGTTGGTGTAAATTCTTGATTTTTTTTCTTAAAAAGTGTGCGTTTACGAATTTGTTTTTTTTTTCAAAACTAATTTATTTTTTTAGATGTTATATTTTTCATTTAATTCTATTTCTATTTCGTTAATGAATTATACTTTTCATAAAGTTTTAAAAATTTT